CTTTCGCCTGCGACTCCGTCCACGTGGAATAAAAAAAAAAGTAGCCCATGTGTTCCAGACCAAAAGAGGACTATATCTATGGTAAATATTCATAGAGATCCGTTCAGCAGTTAAGGTTACAAACTCTCAAACATCCATCTAGACTTTCGAATTTATAACATTAATGAGATAGTATGAAAAAAGAAGTAAGGTAGATGAGAAGATTGTTATTATAAAACTCAAATTGTTTTGACTTATGTCCATACATGTGGATGAATAAATAAACTATCATTCCCATCACAGGGGGTAAAATGTCACTGTCAATCATCCTAGCTGGCATTCCAGTTGGTATAATTAAGAAATGCTAAACGTCACCACGTGCGACGCACATGTGCAAGGTAATTATCAGTTAAACTAGCGCTGCATCATTTGCTCTACAGTCAACATTTATAGCCCAATGAATACAAAGTTTGTTTTATTGGTTATAATTAAGTTATAGCACATCGGATCTAAACACGTCAAAACAATTTCATTATCTTAATTAGGTGATAATGCGTTTATAATAGTTCCTGACCTATTCGATCTTAATTCTATACTGTTGACTACCAAAAGCGATTGTTTTTTGTTTCATTTTTTTTTTTAGTAACACTAAAGTTTTTTAATCAAAAAGCCAAGATCGTGGTTACTTTGTAAATGTTTTGAGACATCTTTAAGCGAATGAAAATTTAATTAAAATCGTTCTTTAAAAGTCACAAGTTTTATTCACAGTGCATGTTCTAATTTTATTTTAATACAGGTGGCGTATTGACATATTGTCGTAAACGATCTTTCATAATCTCAATCGAGTTTCCCACCTGTTGTTGGCTGATTTCGCTGAAGGCGTTGATAAATTTTCAAGCAATCCGTCTTGCGGCGACGTATAAGTCTATCGCCTTTTCACAGATTTTTCTGCGCTCCCATCGTACTCTGAAGATGTTTGCATAAGCTAAAGACTTCCCAACAATCGATCACTGTCATAGGAATGTACCAGCGTGTATTATCATCAAGGAACGTTGACCTCTTAAGTGTGTTTCGTAGCTTACGCACACAAAAAACTACATTGTACGCACAAAACGATCTGATAACTACTACACACGTAGTCCGAACACGCGTCTTATCTTATTTGCTCCGTTGTTTAGATAGTCTGCCCCTCTTTTTAGAGGAGACGAATTTCTTTAGAGCAAACTAAATCTATTTTTAAAAGTCTATTTAATCAAAAATAAATGCTTTCAGGACTTGTCACAAAGAATAAAAAGAAAAACAGTAATTGAATAGAATTACATTTGAAAGAAATTGGTCATGTTATTAAATATCAAGAATTCATTTACATATATTCACAGCTATAATTTTGCGTATACTAGAAAGTAAGCTTTATCTTATTGTAAAATAGATAAAACTGTAGATATTATTTTTATCTATGGAAAAACTATTAAATGATGACTCCTCCGCTTCGTAGTTTTAAAATAACATCCATTGAATGCAATCTTTAAGACGGATTGCGCAAGACATTTTACACAGCATTGAATTGTTCAAAAATAGATTCAGTTCGCTCGAACTGGCTCGAAGTAATTCTCGATCGTTCGGTTCTCGTTTCTATTACAATTCAGCGAATATGGTAATGCAGTTGTAATCGACAAGCGAACAGACGGGCCAACATCTTCCGAGGCCTTTTCCGGACAAAGCTAGGCAATGGAGCATCGTAATGTAGCGTCCCGTCTAATCGTCTGCAGTTACATTCTGCAACTTCCGTGCAGTTGCTAACGTTTGAAGAAATATACAAACATTCGGCAACGCTTGTTCCTTGTAAACTCGTTCGTTTGCCAAATGTTGGTTTGTTTGTGTTGCGTTGGTTAAGACTCGACAATCGGCCGGTGGGCAATGGAGACGCAACATAAACACGCCAGACGTTGTTTACAGTCGTGGCGGCGTCTTAAGGCGCGCCTACCGTTCCTTCGCTAGATGAGAGGGCTGCGTTGAGATACAAGTGCTGTTTATTTTTCTCCGCGCTCTTTTGGAATCCCTCGTCTGCAGAGAAAATTATGCACGGTTTCTACTTAAGACAGTTTAAAAGTTCTGTCGCGAGCGACGGTGGTCTTCTAGAAAATATATTACATTGCACACACAAACATTCCATTTAGTAATATTCTACGCGAAATATTTCTTCAAGTCAAATATAATATAAACGCATATTATATTAATAGAAATAAAATATATTATGCTATCATCAATCTGTCGTATATATCGACTAGAATTGGGAGTAAAGGAGGTAATAGAAAAATTTATTACATTTAAGGAAATATTAAGGGGAAAATTTAAAACAACTAAGGTGTTATTTTAAAATCTTAAACTTCGTTAGAATAGCACAATTTAACAATTTCGTTTTTGTTAAACAATTGTGGATCGTATCATTAGCAAGTCGTTTTATACTCTGAAGCACTATTTGGCGGAGACAGCGCTAAAATCTTGAAGCTGCATTTCTCCATTAAACGCTACGAATGCGGGAAATTATTTAAGTTGCAGTAAAACTGGAATATTAATTTAATTGGTGTCTTACTGCAGACATCCTCACGTTGCTATAAAACGCATTAAAATTTAAAATTCAAATACGTGCATTTAGAATGTGCGTTTGTGGCGCCCGTTCGCTTAACAGGATATTTATGCATTTGTGGGCAGGTCAGATAATATCTTTTGTTTTTATTTTATCTATAATTTTTCCATAAAAATACTTTGAAATACAAAATTCATATATTAAAACCAAGCGGAATTGCTTAATAATATTTAAGCACTAAACGATTGTATTTATTCCTGTTCTGGACATCATCATCAACTTGCGCTTGTCCCTACGGAGGGTCGGCACAGTATGTGCTGCTCTTCCATATTTTTTTTTTTATAATACGAGTTGGCAAACGAGCAAGCGGCCACCTGAATCCACCGAAATGGAAAGCGACCGCTGCCCATTAACATCCGCTATTGTAGATGCGTTGCCTACCCTAATTGACGGAAGAGGAGACGCACATAAAGAGGACATTTCCCCTTCCTATGCATCTCCTTCACCGTCCAATCCACTTTCTCCTCCCATCCTTTCCTCTTAAGAAAAGGGTGGAAAGGAAAAGGGACTAAAATTAGGCCTCCGGCACCACACTCATCAGACGAAACGCGGAGTTGCTTCCACTTCACGCCTGTTTTCTGTGTGGTCGTGGTATTACACCGGGCGAGCCGGCCCATTCGTGCAAAGATGTTAAAGCGGGCTCTACCACTGTTAAAGTTAAAAAAATATATTAACATAAGCCGCCATATCTGAATCCAATCCCTTCCACATATCACATATCCTCTTCCACATAATTATACTTTCTTGATTCATTATTATCACTTTCTGGTTCATTATTTAATGTAGAAGATAATACGTTACATAAAAAGTCAATACTAATTAAATAGCCAGTTGCTTGAAAAAAAAAATCGTATTTATAATGTGTTTCAACTATGTGACCTTTTTAGTACGTAAAATGGAATACTAAGAGCGGTGGCGTGCAGGACCCGATAGCAGTGGGTAAAGCCCCTTTCTGACGTGCTCTCTCGCGCGGACTATCGCCTGCACTCTGCATGCCCTGCCTTCAAAGCCTGCCTTACATTATAGCCCTAACTGTGACGATGATGTAAGAATAGTATGCATGCCGCTCTAAAACTTGGTAATATTTATAGGCAACAAGCTTTCTTACTCTTTGTAGTTCGCTTTTCTTATATACGTGTTTACTTTTTATTAATTAGTAATAGAATAAAGTTGTAAATAGTATAACTGTAAAGTACACATTCTATTGCAGTCATTGCATTAATGGTTAGTTTCCTAGCTTCGTTTACCCATTCGTTAGTGTTTTGTTTCGATAAATTCTTGAAATTCGTTCCCGAACTAATGTATCTCGAGTTTCACTCCTTTGTAACGTAGTTTAACCTAACACTAATGACTCACTAGATAATGATAAAATAAAAGGAAACTTCATCAACCCATAAGTAATTATAATACTTATACTTAATCGCGGTTAAAAATATCCACTGAAACCTGACTGGAATCTGATAAACCGAAATAAACCCACATCTGGCTACATGTCAAATATCAAGTTGTACAATAATAAAACGAACGGGTTATCTATTTAACAATTCCATTAGTCTCGATAAGGGAGGCTTGGAATAACTCTATAGCGGGGACTATATGCGGAGTGTCCAGACCAGTAGGTCACAGGCTTATTTAAAAACAATGACAAGTTGAATCCATTAGACTTGCAGAGACAGGCTACCCCTAACCGGGTCGGTTATATTCGAAACGATCGAAACATTTCTATTATTGGATCATTTCAGTCGAAATGCTGCGGAAATTCAGCCTTTTCCCGCCTGAATCAAAATGTTGTGATGTCGGCTCGTTGATTAAAAGCATTGTAATTAATATGATGATTCTGTATCACTGCGAAAACTGTTATTAAAATAGTTATTAATTTAAATAGTATACATGTTAATTACATAGGTTTGGCATACGTTATAACGACGAGACAATAAGAAAAGGAAATATTGTTAAATATCTGCAAGACAGAGACTTGAAATTTCAAATAATGATTTCTTGTTAGCTTGATTGTTAAAACAATCCCATCATTGTTGTCTGCATTCCGGAAGCAATAACATACAAACTTTTTAACAATAATTAACCATTCTGTCTATATCAATCTATTGTAATATTATAAAGAGGGAAGATTTGTATTTTAATGTCTTTGTATGTGTTTGATTCGCGCAAAACCTACTGGGCCGATTTTAAAATTTTTTTCACCGTTAGAAAGGTATCTGTGTAACATACGATATATTATACTGCGTGGACGTTAATTACCCGTGGACGAAGTCGCGATCAACGGCTAGTTATGAATAATTCTGTTATCAAATATCCTATGTTATCTTACAATTATCATATATAACAGCACTAATACATTTTCTTTTTGTTTCAGGTAGAATTATGCAATAAATTTCACAAGAACTTCTCTCGCTCGATATCACTCGCAGTAGATGAGCAAGAAACGTAAGTTGCCAAAGATATTAATGAAATTAGTTATAAGTTTCTATTCGGTATTCAGTATTCCTAGAGATTGTATAACTTTGCCTTATAATTACAAAGATAACTTCTATGTGATTTCATTAAGTTTTCATTTGTCAGGATAGAGTTGTACTCGCTTCTTTGTCTTTAGAATTTACATTGAAACATTTTGTAAGATCAAGATGTTATCTTCTAAATTAAAAAAAAAAAAACATGACTATAAAGTATAATCGGGAGGGGTGTTTCCATTTGTGAGTTATTAATGATTTTTTTATAGCAAAACATATTAGTAGATTTTTATTAATTTACTAATGTAAGATAACCATACCAACTAAGCTCTAGGAATCGTGGGATTTCAACCTTCGACCGCAAGATCGGTGGTCCGTACCCCAAAACCTTTGGCGCTTTAAATTTATATCTTAATAAATTTTTATTACGTTTAATAAATGGTTTACAATTAAATTAGTCAGATTTTTTGACAAAAATTAAATGTTAACAATTTACCAGGAAAAAAGTTGCTCATTGTTAGCTTTAAACGCCTGCAGAGGGCTCGTAATAATAGGGCATAATATATTCAAGTCGAGTCAAATAAAATTAGCACGGTGAAAAATGTAAACGGTCCTTTTTACTGCCTCGAGGACGTGTAAGCATTACCTCGCAGGACCCTCCCTTACACGGATATTTCTGTTTTATTTCACTGAAATAGATTCTTAAGTTAACGTCCATTCGAATTTTAACTTGAATTCTTAAGTAAGGGTCAAGGAACTCGGTATATTCATGTTGAAAACTTTTGTATGGTGTATAAAATAGTGCTTGACTACAATCAATCTATGGTCAAAAGTTTATCATACAATTACAGTTTTTTGAATACATCTATGTGAATATCTTAGTAAATTAACAGAAACTTTAAGATGGAACTCGAAAGGGATGTAATTTAATAATTATTTATCAGTTCTTTGTATTTAAAAGATTCTTACCAAAATATGAATAAATATTGATACATTATTCACGTTCATTCGAAATACAATTCGCGTACACCGCAGTATAATTTGACATGAATGTCCTGGGTGCAATTGACATGAATGGATTTTTATTACCTGATTTAATTTACAATAAAACGTAATATTGTCACTTAAGAACTACTTTTTTTTTAATTGTCGAAAATCTAAGTGTCCTCTTTTGTTTTGTTACAAACATTGATTTTAATTTTGTCATGTCTAACAAACCGCAGTTTAATCACTGAGGAAGTTCCTTAGTGTATATTTTTCAATGGTCTAAATCAAGCAATCATTCGAACATTCAACGAATAATCGAATAATTAGAAATGGTTAGTGCGGAATGCGTTTTGCTGCATTTAATCTTGGTTTGTTTACTGAATGTAAAGCTTGGTAATCGTTCCATGAAACATAGCATGCTGGCTTTATAATTTCCCGGTACGATGCTGTCTTGAATTCGATTACTATTCCAAGCGATAGAACTATTACTCAAATTTTAGTTGATATTGATTTAGCACTTCCTTGATGAATAGTTGCCTAATGTGATTATAATTCGACTGCAACTTTCTTCATTCGGGATAGTGGTCAAGCGCTACTAAAAAAAAAATAATTTTATAAAATACAAATCCTTGAATATTGGTTGCATTAAAATTTGTTGTATGGAAAAATTTAAGATGGTGTAATTAATAGGTAAGAATTTAAATAATGATTTATTTAACTATCTTTTTAAACTAATATTAAATAGAGTCGGAAACAAAGAGTCCGGGAGTGGATATTCAGCTCGAATATTTTAAGAACCAAGTCAAACAATGCTTTATCCTCGCCCCAGATTTAATAGTAAGTAATTAGGCTACCAGGCAACTGGGACACGTATAAAAAATAAGGACAAAAAAAGTAATAGGACATACATTTTGAATTAAAATTCTTCAATTTCCATCCATAATGTTTGGTAAGCGTTAACCAAAGCCTATCAGAAATTTCAAAGCTTGAAATCGGAGGCCTTGGTTAAACTGGCTGGTTACAAAGTTTAATCACGCGAACGAAACCGCAGTCAAAAGCTAGTTTGAAATATAAAGAGGTGTAAGTGTCGAGTGTCGGTTGATTATTGCTTATTATTGAAGCGCGTTATTAAACGGATAGCGGACGCCCGCGTCATTGGACGGACTGACACTTGTGGACATTTGAATTATATTTCGGTGGCTTTGTTATGGTTCTGTTATTTGTAAATTCTGTAGCTATTTAAACGTATCCTTCTGATTTTATCATAGCTAGAGAACTAGCGAACTATGTTAGTAGGAATATTAATTTTAATAGCGCATTAAAAATATAAAAAATGCTCAAACCTAGACTGGCTATAAAACAAATGGCCACGCACTTGATGTTTAGTGAATTGGAGTACTTTTTTGTATGTTTTTTTTACAATATTAATACGTTATAAATAAAGTGTACTACGATATGTGCAACGTTGGCAATATTACAAAATAGTATTGCCTATTAGCGGCGCCAATTTCTACATTAAAATTATTTTACGAGCGTACGACAGGGGGCGTGTGAAGTCGCGGTCATGCGGAACAGATGCCAATAAAGTTTTACTTTGTGCAACTTAGTCTGAACAAATGTGCATATTAGCTTGAAAAAAGCACTTAGCATGCTCGCTGGGTGCGGGTGAACATATGAATGGAGTTAATTGGACAATCGACTCATTGAGGCGTGCTGGGCGGACCGTTTGGACGCTGCGCGCGGCGCCCGTGCCAGTTGGCGGCCGCGTAACGACAGCTAATCAGCTCGGGGATACATTTTTATATCGCTTGCAAGGTTAACATATAACTACCTTGTGATTTGTAGTACAATTGTTTAATTTAATACAGATAAGATCCCGTAACATCAATTCCAATAGACAAACAATCTTTCGCTTTATTGAATCTTGAATCATTGCGCATTTTGTCAGAGATTTGACTGGTTTATTTTACACTATCTACATTATTTATTTGCTGATAACTATAAGGAAATACAACTTTTTAAGCAAATAATACATAAATATTGAAGTCCAAGCCGGCTTGAATTTAAACTAAATTTTCCACTCTCGTTTGTTCAACAGAGTGCCGCTAAGTACTGATTAAAAGTTTCATGTGTTGGCAATGAGATCGAGGTTACGGTCCGATGTAATGAGCAACCATATACCCGCGGTACAAGCACGCCCGCGCCGCCAGCCGTAGCTGCTAGCGTTATTATTGAATAACAAAACAATCTCCTTTAGTAGCATTCGAGATTTCTATTAATATTCTTCAGAAGTATTGAATTATTAAGAATGTAGAAAACGTAAATTGCAATATCTATTCTTAGTGTTCAAAATAAAATAAAGCATTTTTATAAAGGATCGTTACATTATAATTGAATTAGTAAACAGAAAATGGTTAAAAAACATTTGTTATAGGCAAATCAAGTTGCCTTTTTGAATTTTGTCTACTATTCAAAAGGCAATTTTACGTTTAAAACAAAAGAACGGCCTAAATAATCGTCATTAATAGCAAATGATTGCTTCAAATCAATCGTTCACGGCGCTCAATACCTACCTACGATTGAGCGAACAAGCAATATTTCACAGTAACGTCGGAGTCAAGGTTTAAATTTCCGAGCTGGGTCAGGTGCAGTGAGCATCGTAATCAGAGTGCGTAAAGACTGCGGTATGCTAAAGGACGGTTAACAGTTGAGTTAAGAATAAAGCGTTATTTCACGGTAGGTGGGCGCGCTAAACAAAACGTTTTGTTGTTTAAATAATAAATTAAAGGTTGCGGAGCTCCGCAAAAGGGTAAAGAATACTCTTACGCTTTAATAATCACTCTCATTATTCTAGCTTTAATTAAAAATATTTTTGAGTAAAATATCTTTATAATTCTGTGAAATTGTATTCAGTTAGTAGCTATTTGTATGGATTGAACAAAACTGAAAATATCTAGAATTTTCTGCAGATTTGGTTCAATTATCTCTTTTTCGTAAGACAAAAGGTGAATTGTATTTCATGTGAGTGTCGTTTATTTAATGTCCCTTGTAGTCTTGTATATTATTACATAATCTAACTATAAATTCATTAGACAAGTATTGTACTAAATTCTCACTCGAAAACGATCATTGTTTGAGTTTCAAATCAAGACAATTGCCACGTGTCTGTTTCCATTGTTTATTTATTCAAGCGAACTGTGGAGTGCTTTTATTGGCTTCTCTATATCGATTGAAATTACTTACAATGAATTGATAAGATAGCTACGACGAAATTAATATATTGATGTTTTCTATCTCTGTACTTCGATACTCTGTCACAGAGTTATAAAGAGAAGAAATACATAGGTATTTTATCAAACATTATACGTAATTATTTTTGTAAAAGAAGCGATAACAATAAATATGTATCTGTACAAGAAGATTTTGAAGTCACGTTTCTTTTCTTATTGATCTAAAGTCTAAGCAAGTAACAAAATTTTGATATTTTTTACATCCTTGTACACTTACAAAAAGCTAATTAATTTGCCAAGTTCTTGGTATTTAAAATGTAATCAGTATATCAAATATAGCATAACCAAACAGTATAACTGAGTATGTTTTAATAATTTGTTAACTAAAAAGGTAAGGTCTCTAAGGCCTCTTTCTTTCGTTGTCGAATAAAAATATTAAGCAATCCATCTTCAACCGTCTCATTTTAATACGGAGTAAAGTAGATTGTGTATCCAACACCATTGCTGTCTGGGATATTGTAAGTTGATAATGTGGCAACCTGAGCCGGTCGCCATTTTAATCTTCTGTCAGAACTGGAGCCGAGTGCTTCGAACAACTTTTCCATCAGCTCTAAGTTTTAATTTCATTTTGAACCCGTCAGCTTTTCTAGTTTTTGTGTTCTAATTTCATTTATTAATGCTGTTTAAATACTTTGTCATTAAACTTATTCAATAAGAGTAAAACATTTACTCCTGCATTTTCAAGTACATAGAGTTGGGT